GCGCGCGCGGCGGCGGCTGCGGCGCCGGCGGCAGTAGCCTGTGCCAGCTCAATCGCCAAGTCCTCCAGAGAGCCGCGGACAGCATTGCTGCTGCGGCCGCGGCGCAGAGCGCGCGCCGCGGCTTGGGCGCTCCTGTGCAGGCAGTGCAACAGTCGGCAGACCCACGCAATCAGCACAAAGTTTCGGCTGTGGGCGTGCATTGTTACGACGCTGCCCGACATCAGAAAAGCACCTGACTTGCGTCCAGGCTGCAGCGTTCGTCGCTGCCCACTGTCCCGTGCGCGTGCTGTGCGGTGAGCGCCGCCAGCCGTCCATCCGAAGTATGCGTCTTGACTGACACCCGCCCCCCCAGCTTCCACACCTACCTCGCAAGCTCCTCCTCCTCAGCAGCCGCAGCCTCCTCCTCCTCCAGCTCTGCCACCGCCCGCCTCAGCCGCGCCCGCGCCCCGCGCGCCGCCTCCCCGCCCCGCGCCGCGCCGCCGCGCCTCCCCTCCCGGTCGCCGCTGCCTGGGCTGCCACGCTGCAGAACATCGAGCGCGTCCCGCAGCCGCCCAAAGTCCTTGGCCAGGCCAGGGGAAGCCGCGACCGCCGCCATCACCTCCTCTTCGTTGCGCGCGTTGCCGTGCTTCAGCGCCGCAAGGCAGTAGCTGCCCGCATGAGGGTGAGGCGGGGCCGCCGGGAAGCACGCGATCAGGGGCAGGCGCTTCCTTGCGGGCCGGCACGCATCGGCCTGGTCAGCGCCAGAATGCACAGGGCGCCCGACGGGAAGCGGCAACACGCAGCAAAGAATAGCAGGCGCCGCGGCGGAGCGCGGGCCGCGCGGGCGAGCGGCACGACGCGGCACGGCGCGGTCGACTGGACCCACCGCGCCGTCTTGGCGACGCAGGTCTTGGGGGCGGCCAGCATGTCGACGAGCAGCTCTATGCCGCCCAGGTAGCGCACTGAGTCCTGCACCACAGGGTCCTTCGCGGCCAGCAGGCACAGCGCGCCCGCCGCCGCGGCCTGCATCGTGCCCGGCGCGTCCGGCCGCAGCAGCCGCACCAGCGCCCCGACGCCGCCCGTGGCACGCAGCGCGCGCCGGCAGGCGGCGTCGGCGGCGAGCGCGCCGAGCGCGGCGGCGGCGTGGGCAACGGCGGGCCGGGTGTGGGAGGGCGCGAGGAGCGAGACCAGGGCGGGGAGGGCGCCGGAGGTCAGCAGCGGCTCGTGCGCGGCGGGGCGCTGCGCCAGGGAGCAGAGCGTGGACGCCGCCAGCTCCAGCAGGCCGTGGATACCCTGGTGATGGGGGATTGCCGGGAGTTTTAATCACATGGGCCGCGTGATTGGTCGAGGTGAGTCAATAGAAGAGCACTGCCCTGCGAGCCGCTTCGTCTGCAGGGCATGCCATGTAGCCAACCTGCTCTTTACTCTGCAGACCGCAAGTGCGCACGCACCTGGCCGAAGGCGATGGCGCCGTCCTCAGCGCCGTTGACCACGTTGACCGCGCACCGGGTGCAATGCTGCGCGGTGATGGACAGCAGCAGCTCGTCCCCGGAGCGGTCCGCATCAAGCACCGCCTCCAAATGGGCCCTCAGCTCTGAGGCCGCAGCCGAGGTGGAGGTGGGGCTTTTGCTGCTCGACGATAGGGAGGCGGGCCACGCCGCCTTGATGAGGAGCTGCCCACGCCTCTCCGCCTCCCACTCGTCGTCGAGGGCGGCTGCCTCAGCCTCCATTACTGCAAGCTTCTGGCGCAGCCCGTTCACATAGCTTTCTCCAGAGGCGCTGCGCGACCGCGCCCTGGCCATCGTGTCTGTGACGATTGCGCACGCGGCAGATGCGCGGCGGAGGTGCAAGTACGCTTGAGAGTTTGTGATGCCCGGATGCCTGAGACATGTATATCGTGATACGGTAAGTATTAATGATATAAACTGGCTGCTACCATGCGAGACCTGGACCTAGAGACAGGGCCTCCTGACGAGCTCCAGACTCCGTTTCGAGACCCAGCCTCCCAAAGCAGTGCAGCCAAGCATTCCAAAAGCAATGCCAGTAGATATTCGATGACACCACCTCGCAACCACCACAAGCACCGGAAACTCACCAAAAATGCTCTTGACTTCTAGCTCAAAAGAGGTTGAATCCGCCTAAAATACTTGTTCGACAATTTATACTGCTGCATTGAGCATTGTGATGTGCTCATTCACCGCTGCTGATGTGGCTCCAGGCCTGCTGAGGGAGCTGGCATGTAAGGACTCCACTTTGGACTGCCCAGCTGCTTCGTTGCCGGGGCCTGGGCGTACAATCACAAAGGGCATTTGAATTTTTTGACGTGAAACAATTCAAGTAATAAGAAAAAAAGCAACGGTCAAACAGCTCCTTGCAGCACTGCGGGCCCAGCACCGCATGCCCATGAGCATATGCTCGCGTACCAAGCTGCAGAAACATTGCAAACCACGCGCCCCGGGCTTGCCTGCCACTACCAAAGCTTGGGGTCGGCTCCCACCGTGCCCTCCTCAAAAGTCCTGCTGGGCGCTTCCTCTGCGCCGCTCTCCTCCGCCGCCTCAACCACCCCTGCCCCGACGGCTCGACAAGAGCCCCCAGTTGCAGTATCTGCTGCCGCGGGGCGCGCTGCGGCGCCTGCGCCTGCTGTTGTCGCATAGTCTGTGTACTTGTTCGCGCGGCCCCTGCACTGATCAACAGGGTACCTGGTGTATGGGGGTGTGGGGATTTGCAGAGGAGTGTGTTTGCACGCATGCATGCACACGCATGCATGCACACGCACGCTCATAAGTGGGCGCACTCAACTCACGCAATCACACATGCTCCACCCCCCCCCCCCCACACACGTCCGCAGGCGCCCGCGTGCACGTGCTTGGAGATGGATGAGTGCACCCAGGCAAGCATGCAGGCTACAAATGTGTGTGCGTGTGCATGTGTGTGCGTGTGCATGCCTTCGATGCACGCGCACGTGTGCGTGTGTGTGCGCGTGTGCGCGTGTGTGTGTGAGCATGTGTGCGCACGCACGCAAGCACGCATGTACTCGCAAAAAAGGTGAGGGCGGGCGCAAGCAGTGCGACTCTGGCCACACCGCAAAGGCTGATGACGGCCGCGTGCCCTGACACACTTACACCTGCCTTTGACCGACTCAACCCCATCGACTCACTTGGCTGCGTTCTTCTTGAGCTTGTCCTGGACAGCGGCGGCAAGGTCAATCTTGCAGACATCAGCCAGACGCACCAGGTACCTTGGGGCAGCCACACAGATCGCGGGCGGGGGTCACATGGTCAGATGACAGCCAGTGCTTGCGCATCATTCGGCACCAGTGGCCATTGAGCAGCGCACGCCGGACCGTTGCCAGACCGCTGCACACCGCATGGGGCGCGCACACAGCCAACGTCACTCGCACGCGGTCTCAGCCAACACTTCAGCACGCTCGAGCCGAGCATAGAAAGCAGGTGGCGGCGTTGTGCCACGCCGCCAGCAGGGCTCACAGCAGCACGTCTGATAGCTCCTCGCCGACGTGCTCCCGGTCCGCTGGCGAGAAGTCTGGCAGGCCCTCGGCCACCTCGCCGCGCCATTGGAATATCTCGGACAGCTCGCCTACCTGCGCTTATGAGTGTGCGCGTGTGCGTGCGCGTGTGCGTCCGTGTGTGCGTGCGTGTGTGTGCGCGTGTGTGTATGCACATGCGAATGCCGCAAAATTTGGAAGCATGCAATTTATGCAAGATTGCATGAACGACCAGTATGCGCTATTTAGTCACAGCACAGACGGCTCCGGTTCCCAAGCGATGGCAAAGGCAAGCAGGGGCACAGTGATTTATGCAGACGTCAGAGAAGGAGGTGGCGGCCACAAATTTTGAGACGTCACCTCGCCAACCAGCGCCAGCAGCAGGTTCCTAGGAGTGTGATACTGCCTCCATTCCCGCTCATCCGCAAATTGGGCAATTTGCGCCCGCACCTGCTCCAGGGTCACCTGCCCGCAATGGTGCATCCCGCAAGCGCGCGACGAGGGAGGTCAGCGGTAGGTAATATGTCGCGGCAGCCGTCGCACGTCATGTGCAAAGGTGCGCAGCCACAACGACAACGCTAGGACGTGCACAGTGCCTGCGCGCATGCGGCCAAGCGAGGGCGGCCTTGAGTGCCGTCACAGCGCCGCTCGCTCACGCTGGAGCAGCTCGCTCCTGCATCTCCGCATGTGTGATTCATCACACTGTGTATTTCCTTGACCATGCGCACGGGTTCTGCCAGATCTTCACTGTAGATCAGTAAAGTAACCCGCAAAACATGTGATCTTAGATTACAATGTTGTGCAGCTGCATTATGTCAGATAATTCAACAACAACTTACGTTTCAGGTAGCTTGGTTCGAGACCGTAATCCTTCCTCCCGCCACAACCAGCCGGCGCTTGACTGGGCCCTTCCACCATCGACACACTCCTGGACGTCAATATCAGAGAGACAATGCAAAATCCTATGGGCATAGACCTGCTAGGGCTATCTCACGGCCTGCTGCAGCGAGTTTGCGACCAACTGAATGACTCTGCGTCGCGGCGAGCGGCGCGCCTGTCGTGCCCAACGCTATGCCAAGCAATTGACGGTGGCGCCCGGACCGTTGTGATACACATTGGCAGCATCTGCAAAAGTAGTTACTTTGATGCTACGGAGCAGCCGACGATGGGCCTGGCCGCCGAGAGGGCGCTGCAGCTCAGGGCGCGCTTCCCCAACAGCACGCACCTGCGCATGCAGCTGAATCACGGCGCCGACAACGCCGAGGTGCAGGCGCTCACGGCGCAGCTGCTGCAACTGCCCCCCGGCGCGTGGCGAGGCATCGTGGTCGTCCAGCTGTGCCGCAGGCTCCTGTTGCGCGACCGCCCGCTGCTGTGTGCGCTCATGGGGGCCGTGGTGCGCGTGTGCCCACTGCTGCACAGCGCACACTCGGTGCTGGCGCCAGAGATTCTGCGGGCCCTGGTGCCGGCCGCGGGCAGCCTGCAGCGGCTTGTGCTGCAGACATACGACGGCGATGGCGAGCCGGCGCGCGGGGACGCCTCGGAAGTCGAGGAGGCGCTCGCTGTGCTGCCGTGCCTGGAGCAGCTGACCGCCGAGCAGGGCCCGTGGCTCCACGGCTCTCGCGCGTGGGAGGGCCTGTGCGCCGCGCTGCCGCGGCTGCCGCGGCTGGCGCGCCTCAGGGCGGGCGCGCTGCACGACTTCCTGAGTTTGGCCGCCCGTGCAACCTCACTGGAGGACCTCAGCTTGTGCACATACTTCCTTGGGATTGGGCTTCAGCTGCCGAAAGTCGACCCCAACCCCAGCGTCAGGCGCCTAGAGCTCAGGAACGTGCGCAGGCAAGTGGGCAGGCAGCTGCATGAGGCCTCACGCGCCTGTGGTGCTTGCGATGCAGTGTGGTCTGCTGCGGGCGTACAGAAGCACGCCGCTACTCGAGGTGCCTTCCCCAGCCGCACGCGCGCATTTGCCAGTGCAAGCATTGCATCCCTCAACATCACTACCGGTGCGTCATGCAAACACCCTCCCTGCCCCGCGCTCGCGTCAGCCCGCTCGACCTGGCTCTCTCGCGCGTTGCGGCCAGGGGCGACCCGGACGGTGGCCCGAGCACGCAGGCGGCGCGCCTGCAAGATGGTGACGTGCCGGCGCTTGGACGGGCCTTCCCCAACCTGGTATCGTTGACTGTGGAGGCCACCCTAGCGTGTCCCTGCCGGCGGCGGCGGCGCCTCCGTTGCTGCCAAAGCTGCGCGAGCTCACGATCGACGCCCTCGACTGGCGCCTGCTGCCGTCGCTGGCGCCGGCGCTGGAGGTGCTGCGCCTGCAGAGTTGCGTGGAGACCCGGGATCTCGAGGCCTTCGAGGGCGGGCTCACGTCTCTGCGCGAGCTGCGGTTGGCAGAGGTGGTGTCGCACAAATCGCTCGACCTTGCTGTGCTGGCTAAGCTGCCCGCGCTGCGCACACTAGGCGTGGTCCTGGGGATGCCACACCGAAAAGGTGCGGCGGTGGAGTGTTGCCAGGCCGCGTTTTCATCCTGGGCGGCCGGGTGGCGCCACATAACGCCACTCGAGCTGGGCTCTCACCCCGACTCTTGTGACCCCATGCCTGTTGATGTTGGCAGCCTGTTGCCCGTGTTTGCGGGGCAGCTGGGCAGCACCCTGAGGCACCTCACCCTCGACCCCTGCACACTTGTGGGTGCAAAGCACTCGCCCTTGCCGGGTGTCCTGCAGGCGTGTTTGCCGCAATTCGTGGTGCTTGAGCGGCTTTCGCTCGGCTTCGACTGCCAGGCGTACTTGATGTATGCCACCACGGCGGGCGTGCGGGCATCGTTTGGCGGGTTTGTTGTGACCGAGCCGTGTCTGACAGACGTGGCCGCGGCGGTGGCGGCGGCGCGGCCAGCGTGCCTGCGAGCCGTGCGGCTGCGGCTGCGGGCGGGCGGCCGCCGCCCCGCCCAGGTGTCCTGGGGCTGCTGCATGCAGCTGATGGCTGCGCACTCTTGGCTGCACATTGACCTCGTGCCGCCAGAGGCGTGCCCGTTTGGCTGGTGAGGTGTGAAATGCTTGCAACTCTGCACGCTTCGTGTTGTCACGCTTCCAACCCATGGGTGCCAGGATACGCACTCTCTGTGGTTCCTTGCCAGCCGCGTGTTGCAGAAGATGGGTCAAGAGCTCAAGTTTAACACGGACAGGCGAAAGGCCACTAAGCGCCGCCGAGGGCCTGTCAGTGACTCATCCAATCGACAGCACCCTACTAGGGTACCATGCCGGTGTGCAGCTATCTGCTGACGCGAGGGCCTTGCACCATTTGAGCCTGGACTGGAGTCTTGCAGCGACACTCAGAGGGGCATCACAAGGGGACACTACGCAGCACTACTTCACAATTGAGTCTCCCCGCAACATCATCATAGGGTTGCAGGAAACAAACCATCAGCAATGCATAAGCAGGGCCCACTGAATTTGACACTGAGCGCGAGGTAGCTGAGCCGCATGACGGTTGGCGCGTTACTTAGCCGTGTGGGCGTGCCGCGTCACGTTTGATTGGTCGGCGATGCGTGACCTCTGTAGTGCCAAAATGCAACGGTTTGCTGGTGAAAAAACCCGTCGCCTGCAGCCACCCCAATCCACCACAAGACTCCAGAGATCACCGTCGCCCACCACGGCCACGGCCGCCGCCGCCCCCGCCGCGCCCGCGCCCGCCGCCGCCTCCACCCCTGCCGCCGCCGCTGCTGCCACGGCCGCGGCCGCCCCCGCCATAGCTGCTGCCGCCCCCGCCGCCCCCGCCGCGGCCGCCGCCACCCTTGCTGCCCTTCTTCTCCGACCGCTTGGCGCGAGCCGCGTTGGCCTTCTGCCGCTCCTTCATCCGCTGCTGCAGGTCCTCCTTCCGCTTCCGCTCCTTCGCCACCTGCGCCTGCGGCCGCAGCTCCCCGCCGCGCTTCGCGGCGCCGCCCTTGGCCACGCCGCCGCCGGCGACGCCCAAGGCCGCCCTCCAGCTCTTGTGGCGGTTGGCCGGCTTGAACCTGTTCGCCAGCTCAGCAGCGACCCGCCCGTCGTCCTCAAAGCCGCCCGACGCGGCGACGCGCGTCTTGTTCTGCCGCGCCCACTTCTTGTACAGCTGCCCCTTCCGCTCCTCCCCCTTCTTGCCGCCGCCGTTGGTGATGAACGACCCGGCCTCGTTCCGGCCCCCGACCGCCGCCGACCTGCGCTCGCCGGCGCCGGACGACGCGCCGGCGGTGCGCTGCACGTACCGCCGCTTGCGCTTGTCCCATTGGTACTGCCGCTGCTGCTGAGTCATCGCCTCCTGGTCTTCTCCAGTGAGGTCCAGCACTGCGGAGCGCAGCTCCTCCGCCGCATCGTCGAGGCCCAGCGTCTCGCCACCGGCGGCGCCGGCGTTGTCCGTTCTTTGGAGGTGGGCATGTGTGAGTGTGTGCGTGTGTGCGTGTGTACGTGTGTGCATGTGTGCGTGCACATGTGCGTGCGTGCGTGTGTGTGTGTGTGTGTGCGTGTGTGCGTGTGCATACGTGTGTGTACGTGTGAGTGCATGTGTGTGTGTGTTTGTGTGTGTGTGTGTGTGTGCATGTGTGTGTGAGTGAGGTGCATTATAGGAACTGAAGGACATGAAATGCGCGGCCCAATGAACAGCACTGGCGCGATGGGTGACCGCGTGCGCTTGCCTGAGGGTTACCCGCTGCCGCAAGGCAGTGCTATGCGCCCCCGAAAGGCCTCGGCGCCGCATGGTGAACGGCGGCGCCATGGTGAGTTGTGGGGCATCGCCGGCTTGGCTAGTGTGGTCCCAACTACGCCCCCCCCATTAAGTGCAGTTTAGGTCGGGCCGTTTGCTTGCATCAAACCCAGGTCCAATCCGTCACAGGCACCCAACGCGCCTCGCACGAGTCCTCTAAATACCGCCCATTGCGCTCGCAAAACCAACCCCAGAATCCTCTCACCTGTTGTGACCCAGGAAGAAGCCCGAGTCGCGGTACTTGCCCTCGTTCAAAACGGCGTCGCCGACAGCCATCGCCTTTGCCGCCGCCCGCCGCAGGCTGCCGCCGTCCTCGCCGCCGCCGCCGCCGCCGCCGCGCTTGCGATTGCTGCCGGCCGTTGCGTCCCGCAGCTGCTGCTTGCCTTTCTTGGAACGCCCCTCACCCTGCTCCTCCTCCTCCTCCTCGTCCTCGCTGCTGCTGTCGCCGCCACTGTATCCACCGCCATCCTCCCCCTCGCTGCCGCTGCCGCTCCCGGCCTCCTCCTCCCCGCTGCTGCTCCCATCCTCCTCCTCGTCCTCCTCATCCTCATCCGGCCGCCGCCGCTTCGCCCCCTTGCCCTCCCTCTGCCCTTTCCCGCCTGCGCCAGCGCCGGCGACGCCCTCAAAGAGCCCCAACGCCGCCTGCCGCTTGCCGCGCTCCTTCTCGATGACCGCCGCGTGTGTGGCGCGCTTCTGGCGCATCACGTCGTTCGACTTGAACCGCAGCGCTGCCTCCAGCTCTGTCTGCATGGTCTGGCCGCCCGTGGAGGGGCGCACCTGCAGCCAGGCAGGGGGGCCGTGGGCGGAGAGGGTGAGGGTTGCTGGCGGCAGCTTTTGCCCTTCGGGGTTGCACGCCTGAGGAGTCGGAGCCACGGCAAGCAGCTGAGCGGCAGCCAGCAACAGGTGGGGGTGCGACACGCAGGAGGGCACTCCGCGCTCAACGAGGAGAACCAGGTGGTGCACGCACTCTCATTTGCCTGGGACACTGTATCTCAACCGCAAGGCTGCGCTGGTCTTGAGGAGGAGGGGGGGCGGGGTGGGGGCGGGCGATGAACCGAGAGGCCCACCTTTGCGATCTCAGCCTCCAGCACAGTGGCCGTGGGGCGGAAGTTCTTCAGCTTTTGGGTGAACTCTGCCAGCGCCGCCTCGTTCTGGAGGGGGGTGAGCAGGGAGCGAGATGGGGATCATGATACTTGAGAAAATAATGCAGCTGCCATGATGGAGTGAGGGGGGGTATGATGACAAAGGATGGATGCTCCAGCTGAGTGTGGGCTTCGGAGGGTGGTGGTGCAAGGGGAGGAGGGGCAGGCAGGACCTAGGGGACAAGATCAGGGTCGTGGTTGCGAGGTGTTCAGTCTGGCCGCCAGGGCGCATGCTAATTCGATCCAAGCCAGGCAGGTTGCGAAGCACACAGACGCGTGGTCCCACACGAACCCCCTTCAAGTCCTTGCACTGCTGCCGGCACGTGCCTGACAAACGTCTTTGCCCACGCCCCTCAAACAGGGCCCAGCAGTTGCAAGAGAGGTGGTCCCACCCAGGCCGCATCCCAGCCAGCTAAAACCCCCGACAAAACCTCCCACCTGCAGGTTGCCCCTCCGCGTCGCCGGAAGCTTCCCCAGCAGCATCGGGTGCGGCCCCTCCTTTGGCAGCCCCTTGGCGCGCTTGACGCTCTCGCTGCTGGCCGCGGGGCGCGTCTTGAGGTACAGGCTGTACGCGTTCTGCAGGGTGCGCTGCACGCTCGCCAGGTCGCCGGCGGCGTCCACGGCGGCGCGCAGGTGGTCCTGCAGGGGCTCCAGGATGGCTGCTGGAAAGGAGCCGAAGACGGACTTGCCTGGGTCGTATTTGGGGGGGGGTGTGTGGAGGGCGGCGGCGCGGCGATGGCTGGCTTCATCGGGGTCCGATCAGGCTGGAGGGCAGAGGCCTCTGGCTCGGAGGCAGAGGGGGCACTGAGTCAATGTGTTCCTTCAATGCGAACAAAAAATCTCAAACTAGCTGAGACCGTTAAGTAGGGGTGTCCGAGGCGCGTTCAACGGTCAGGCAAGCCAAAGGAAAAAAACAGGCCGCGAAACCACGGGCTCTGCCAGCAGGGCCCCACCTTCGGCGGCGTCGGCGCCGCCGTCCGCGCGCGCCGCCTCGACCGCCGCCGCGTCGGGCGCCTCGGGCGCGGCCTCTATCGCGCGGCCGAGGTAGAGGTGCAGGTCCAGCAGGTAAGGCAGCTCCTCCCGCAGCACCAGGCTCAGCGCCGTGCCGGGGCGCCCCATGCGCGCCGCGCGGCCCGCCCTGATGTGGTTTGGTGGAGAGGGCAAAGCCGTTGGTCGAGGGCGAGGGCGATTAACAGCCGAGTAGGGAAGGCGGGCGCTTTGAGGCGATGGCTTGTGCGGTGTTGTGACATCGACACGCCAAGTCGATCGCGGCGCCGACGAGCATGGACCGCCGGTGGTTGTGAGGAGCGGCGGACGGCGCGGAAATGCGCGTCTTGCTCGCCTGTGAACGAACAGCTCCGGTTTTGGCGGGAAGTCATAGTTGACTACGTTGTCGATCAGTGGGATGTCTATGCCGCGCGCCGCCACGTCGGTGGTGATGAGCACGCCCACCCGCTTGGCGCGGAACTTGGCCACGTGGATCTTGCGGGCGGTCTGGGCGTGTGTGTGAGCGATGGGGGTTTGTGTGAGATTTCGCAATTCAAACAAAGCGGCTTTCTGTTACTTTCTTTGCCATGGCATCAGGCGGGTTCCCCGGAAGCCCCATCGGAGTGCTAGGGGGTTGTGAGTTTCGTGTCCGAAGGGCGGTTGGTGGGAGTCCTATCCAATCTTTCAACCGCACCTCTCCCCCCCCAAAAAAACCGCACCCCAGCCCTCGCACCTGGTCCATCGCGCCGTACACCACCGCCGTCTCCAGCCCCTCCCGCGCCAGCAGGTTGTGCAGGAAGTCGGCGTGGTGGCGCGTCGACACAAACACCACAGTGCTCTGGTCCGGCGGCAGCATCTCGCGCAGCAGCCACACCAGCGCGGCCAGCTTGTCGTCCGGGCGCACTGAGGGGCACACGACCACAAGGTCGCGGCGCGAGGATCGGCGCGCATGTGAACACGTCTTACTGTGGAGGTGCTGCGACCCAATCGCATGTCCCTCGCCGGGGACTAGGGCGGCTGCGTCGCCCGCAGCTCCAGTAGAACTCCCCGCCCCACAGCCACGCTGCGCTGCGCAGCCCCTGCTGCGTACCCACAGTGCTCAAGCCGCCCGGCTGCCTGGACCGTGCCAATCCCCGTCCCCGGCCACTCAACCCACGCGAGCACCATAGGGACACCGTCAATCGCCACAGACAAATCAAACGCCCGCCTGAGCTACCGCAACACCCACCCGTGAAGAAGGCGAGCCCAAGGTCCGGGCTGAGCCGCCGCTCCACGTCCAGCCGCACGAGCTGCGGCTGCGCCAGGCCGGCGCTGGCAAAGTCCGCGAGGCTGCGCGGCAGGGTGGCGCTGAACAGCAGCGCCTGGCGGCCGTCGCGCAGCTTTGACAGGATCTCCCGCACCTGGAAGCATGCAGGTTGGGATGCGGATGTGTCGTCGGCGCGCGAGAGAAGATTTTGGCAACTTGCGCAACGGCTGGCGGTGCGGACGCCGCCGGCACAACGCAGCAGACGCACGGTCTCGCTGCATGCAGAGCGTCCGCCGCCCTCAAGACCGAGGCGCCACAGCCCCCCCTCCCTCGCCTCCCCGCCACAGCCACGCGCGCGCCAAGCCCCGCCGGCCCCGCATGCGCCCGAACGGCCCGCAACCCAGCACGCACAGTGCCGGCTCGACCCCGCGGCGCCCCTGCCGGCGCACCTGGTCCGCAAACCCCATCTCGAACAGCCTGTCCGCCTCATCGAACACGACATACTCGATGCTGCCCAGCCCCATGCCCTCCACCTCCTCCAGGTGGTGCAGCAGGCGCCCCGGCGTCGCCACCAGAATGTCCGGGTTGGCCGCCAGCTCAGCAAACTGCGCCTCCATCGCGTCGCCGCCCACCAGCGCCGCGGTGCGCAGGTCGCTGCCCTTGGACAGCTCCCGCACCACCTTGTGGGTCTGCAGCGCCAGCTCGCGCGTCGGGGAGAGCACGAGCGCGCGCGCACCGGCGCGGGGCGAGTGGCCGGCGAGCTTCTGCAGCATGGGGATGACAAAGGCGGCGGTCTTGCCGCTGCCGGTGCGCGCCATGGCGACGACGTCCAGGCCCTGTTTGAGGGGGTCCGGGGCATCAGAGATTGTCAAGGTGTGCGGCTGAGGACGAGGGAGGTGCCTGGCGAGCAGTTGGGGCTTCATGTCAAAGGAAGATGGGGTTCAAGGGCACATGGCCTCTGGCCGCGTGACACACAACGGCCCTCAGCAGCGTTTGCATGCGGGGACAGAGGCTACTTGCACAGTTGCGCGGGTCTAGCGTGAATCGCAGGGGCCGCGACGCGGGGGCGAGGCGCCGCGGCGGCCGCGCGCGCGGCCGGGGGGCGCACCTGCAGGATGAGTGGCAGCGTTCGCCGCTGGATGGGCGTTGGCAGGCGGAAGCCCTTGCGCTTGATGGCCCTCAACAGCCAGGGGCTCAGGCCCATGGACTCTGCGGGTGGTGGTGCGTGATAGCGGTGTGTTCAAGGCTGGCCGCACACCCAGGGGGGTTGCAGCAGCCACGCGCCCTGGCCGCCGGCCATCCAGCTCGTCGCCCAGCCCCCGCAGCCACCGCCACGCCAAGGAAAGGGATCTCACGCCCAGCCGCCGCAGACTCGCCAACCAGCGCGAACGCGTAACCACAAACAGCGCACCCACCAAATGTGCCTGGCTTCTTCTTCTTCTGGGCCTCTTTCTTGGCCTTCAGGCGCCGCCCAGACAGCGGCTTGGCCGGCGCCTCGTCCTCCCAGCCAAACTCAACCACCTCGCCGTTCGCGGCATCGTCCTTGGCGTCAGTCATGCTGCCACGACCCAATCAAGCCGTCAGAGGGCCTGCTAGCGCTGCAGCGCCACCGCAGCCGCCCTGATGAGGTGCAGCACCAGCAGGCGGCGGAGCGGCTGCGGCTCCGGTGTGACGGCTGCAGGCGCTGCTCGCTAACAGTGCCAGGATACAAGAAAGTTGCATGCGTCGACCTGCGCAGCTCTGATATAATGCCCTAGATTGCAGAATGAGACTGCAGCTGGGCAACAAGGTCCGCGATCATTTGTGCCCTATTTATGCGAGCAAGCGCTGTCCTTGGTTCTGATTGATCTGTGGGCGACTACCTTGTCAAGACAAGCGACCGTTCAACGTAGTGCCCCGCGAGAGTGACACGCCAAGTGCCGCGCGCCTAGATCAACGCGAGATAGTGCGATCCAGTTGCACGTTTTTTGAACATGTGAGGAGTAGATGCGGTTGGGCCCGTGCCCGGCGCATGCACACGGAGTTCTCGCTTCAAGTTGGCCAGATGCAAGTTGTTGCACAAGTTTGCCACTTCACCAGCGCGCACCCACGGAAGCTGGCTGTTGTCTCAGTGACATGGCATGCTCCGCGCGGGCTTGCCGCATGGCACCTCAGCAGCGGTGGTGGGGCGATTTCGCCTCCCGCAGCAGCGCTCCCGCGGACCTGCAGGCGCCGCAAGCGGGCGCCAGGCCCCGTCCAGGCCCTGAGGCCCGGCATAGACAACACTGAGCTGCTGGCTGGTGACTGGGTGATGCTTGTGGGATGGTTGTGGGATGTTTGACACAGTGTCTTGGCTTGGGGATGCGAGCTACATGCAAATCCAGGCGGCCCGATCGCCCTCATAAGACCCACGGCCCCCCATTCTCGATCTGCAGGCGACTGCATCGCGCTCATAAGCTTCAGCCTGTGAGCATGTCCTTCCTGTCTCCGGCCGCTGTCCCGCCCTGGCACTGCACTCCAACAGCCGCATGTCGTGCGCAATTGCCCGCCCATGTGCATCGTTAGAGCACTCTCGGCAGACCTGGGCTCGATTCGCGACAGCCGTGGCTGCCACCACTGCTGTATTCGTGACCCGGAAAGCGCTGCTACGCTGCTAAACTGAACTTGCAACTGCCTTACCATCGCCTTGTCCTGCTCCACAAAACTGAGCGCACCCTGCACCAACAACAACCCGCGCCCGTGACAGATGGAAGCAGATCTCCAGCATAGTGCTGGCCCCAGACTTCCCGGGCTGGCTCGCCCCCCTGCACTTTAACCCCAACCGCTGGTTCGAGTTCGTGTCCTTCACGTGCACCCTGACCGCCTCATGGGTGCTCGCCGCCGCGCTCACCGGCGGGCTCTCTTACGCCGCCAGCCGCGGCGTGCCCGAGGCGCTGCGCGCCACGTCGTGGGCGTGGCTCGTGTCGATGCCGATCGCGGCGGCGCAGCTGGTGCTGGTGACGGCGGCGGAGAGCCGCGCGCTTGTGGGCACGGAGGACTTTGCCAGCGCCCTGCCTCTGGCCGCTCAGGTGGGTGGGGTTGGGGCGGTGGGGCCTAGTGCAAGTCTGCACCTGGCAGGTAGTTACTGCAGGCCAGGGGGTGATGGTGACTTGAGGACGGGGAGATGGTAACTGCAGGACATGGGGAGATAGTGACTGTGGGACAGGGGTGGCACAGCTGGATCTGCCCGCCGCCGGTTGCCGCGCCAATTGCGCCAGCCAGCGCGCTGCACACCCACCCGCACCACCTGCAGGGCCCCGGCGAGCCTGTGGCCACTGCCGCGGGCGTGCTGGGCGTGATGTGCTTCTGGCGGGCCTTTTACACTGTCGCCCTGGACCCCTGGTCGAGCAGCGCGCAGCGCATCACTGCGGAGGCGCAGGCGCTCCGCGAGGCGGCGACGGTGGCGGTCGCGCTTGCGGCCGTGGGGGCTGCGGCCTTGCAGGTGGTGCAGGCGGCATCGGGCGTGATGGAGCGCGGGCAGCTCATGTGACAGGCTTGTGCTATAATTCGTGCTTTTAACGCTTTTGTACAGCACTTTACCCAAAGAAACGTGTGCAATGCAACGAGCGCAGAAACGAATATCCGAGGTGGCTGGCATCCCACGTCTGGGCGTTTGTTGGTGCCCGCCCTTGCGGCGCACATCGGGGCAAGCTTGCCACGCCCCGCGCTGTTCAGGGAGCCAGAATCATGTTGGCCCCGCCTCAGTTTGCCTTGCAAAAGCGCTTGCTGCCTATGACATTGTGGCTATACGCACAGATTGTTTGCGGGCAACACTGGCATGCAGCACAAGTGATGCAAGGAGTTTTGACCGTTTTCCGACCAGCTGGATGCACCTACTTGTGTAAAAACTTTGCACTTGATCTTACTGGGTCAGCCACCATGGATGCCTTCAGATTGCTGTTTATAGGGGTTGGGTTGTCCTTGTGGAGTTTTGATACTCCATGCTTCCACTGGCACGCGCTCAGCGGACGAAGCCGCTAGAAAGGCGGCAAGCGGGAAAGTAGCGCTCCGACAACAAGTATAGAGGGCATGCGAACACACAAAGGGCTTCGTATACAACACACTGGCGGCATGCTCGGGCCATGAGCCGTCACAGCTGCCAACAAAGCATAACTGGGCTTAACGGTTCGCTTGTAGAGTGTTTGGCAAGGCGGTCGCAGTGCAGCGCGCAAGTGAGGGCAGCCGCGGCTGGCTCGCCGCCATGGCTGAGCGGCTTCGGCAGCCGGCCGGCGGTTGTCAACCAAGCTAATCAGCCGAGCATTTTGAACAGCTTGTAGCTGGCGTCAAAGGCGCAGCTGGACTGCGCCCTCTTGCCGCTCGTCGTGAACCCTGGTGGACAGGGGATGCACAGGAAGGACCCTGGCAGGGGCGCAAATGAGTTTGCTGGGCAGGGCGAGCAGAACTGGGCGCCGGCGGTGCTGGCGTAGAACCCCTTGTTGCACAGGCGGCAGATTGCCAGGTCGCGGTCGGCGTAGGTGCTGCATGGGAATGGGTTTCAACACGGGGAGCAGCAGGTCAGGGCTTACAACAGTGCCACGGGGAACGTGGTGGCATGCATGCAACGTGTGCAGGCATTTTACGGGCAACATGGTGCTGACAGACAACCAGGGCAGGGGGTCGCCTCACCCCGGCAGGCACAAAGTGCATGTAAGCGCCGGCTGCTTGGACACGGTGCCATTGGGGCATGAGCTGCACGAGATGGACAGGTGCCGCTCCTAAGGGTAGATGTCCAAATGTGAGCCGCAGGGGGGAAAGTTGTTGTCAGAGGCAAACCCTGGTGCGCATCCCAGTAAGCAACAGGGGCGCGGTGCAAGGTTGTATGTGCAAGGGCACTAGTTCACCAGTGTCGACCTTTCTTGGCCTGCCCACCTGTGACATCATCAGTTGCGCGGGGATTGTCTTGATCGTGGCAATCATGTTCATCGCCTCATTCTTGCTACAGGGAGGCTGCGAGGTTTATTCGAGGTGTAGAGGTTGAGTTGAGCCGTAGGAACGGATGGGCCTGGCTATATCCAAGTGGATTCAGATGCAACTGCTGGGGCCGGCAGCCTCGCCAATGTGGGGGGGGCGCTCGCAAGCAGGCTCAGGGTTGTAGCGCCGCTGCAAAGCGGGGTCATTTCTTGCCCTCCTGGCAAAGCTCACCCTGGGAAGGCTCATCTTGGGGAGCTTGGGCAGCGTCAGTGACGGCAGCTGGGGCAGATCTGGGATCTTGAAAGGCAGGTCAACGTCGACGCACCTGCGCGAGTAAGGGGCAAACATGTCGCATGCAAAATGTCTCCACTCTTCTGAGTGGCGCCAGGCTCTTTCCTGTGCCCGTGTGAAGTTAAGGCCAAAAACTGAACTTTGTGCCATGCCTGCTTCAAGGCATGTTGCATAATCACGTACATCCTCTGGCCCAGCCATCTGCGTTCCCGCCTCCCAAGGCTCACTTGTGCGTCGTGCAGCTGCCGCAGGTCGGCACGCAGACCTGCGACTTGCTGCACGGCTTGGCCGCGCAGCTGTCCTGGATGCAGCCGACCAGCGGCTTGCCGTTTGGGCACATCACCGGCTTGACCTTGACGGCGTGCAGGATGGCGTCCCGCACAGCGCTGCTGAGCGCCGCGTGGACGCCCTCGGCGAGTGCTGTTATGTTTGGCAGGTGTGGCCTGCCTGGTAGGCTGATTGGCCCGAGTGTCGGCAGCAGCGTGGGCTTTGGCCAATGGGCCAGCGCGGGGGCTGGCGCAGGGGCCGGCGAAGGGGTTGCCACAATGGCGGCGGTGGCGTCAATCGCGCCAATGTCGTCTCCTTCAGTTTCGACCCCTAGCATCATGGATCCCGCCACTGTGACAACGTCGTTGTCCAGGCATTTGAAGTCACATCCGCACCCACGCTGGCACCACCTTCCTGGTCCGCAGGATTTTTTCGGATCGGCGCAGGGGTTGCCGCTGGCGCACTCGCCGAAGGGCTGGTCGTCTGGGCAGTCTGCACGCAGGGAAGCAGCAACGATGAGCCTGCTCAATGGTATGGGCTTAAACTGCTGCTTCGCATACTGGCGCCCAAAGCTGATGCCTCGGAACTGACTTCACAAAACTGAAATATGTTGCTGGTCCGGGCGTTGTCGTCCATCTGTCCACTAGCAGGATGCAGCATCCCATGCATGCACCTCCTGCTGCATGAGCGCATGGCGAGGTGACCGCAGCACATCTCAGGACGCCCCACAGAGCACAGCAGCTACCCAAGTAGCCTCACCGGGCACAGAAGCGCTTGAATGTCGAGCCAAAAGCAGCAGTGCACTGACGCAAAGCAGGACCGCGCCCTTCATCGCGTGCTCCTTGACAGCCAACAGAAACTCCGTCCTTTCAAGTGCAATATATTTCGTAAAATTATTGTATGGCTCGTGACTGTGTCCGCCTCTCTAAAGCCTGACAGTCTCCTTGCGGGGGTTGGAAAAAGCTGCTCGTCCTGAAACAGCTCGAGCTGCGGGTAAGCGCAATAGACACAGTATCTTAAAACTTGTCGCAGCCAATTTGTAACTTTCACAAGGAACACGTGCAGTATCCGGACACCCTCAACAAAATCCTTGCAGTGCCGGTCTCTCCCGCCATGGCGCCTTGCTCCAACCGTGCAATGTCACTGGACGGCAGGCCGTCATGTGCAAAGCATGGTTTCGTTTCCTCAAGTTTGGCGCGCCTTGATGTAATAACAGCATGCTGTGATAGATGATTTTGAGAGCTGATTTACAATACAGTAACGTGACAATACATCGACGGGCTCAATTCCTTTGCATTGTGTGGTGGATCCCTACATGCTGCTCTACAAATTTTTGGGGAGTTAAGTGCACATGCAGCAGTTTGATTTTGGGGCTGTTTGAGCAACTGGGAAACTGAGTGTGCAACCTGCATTGGTATTGGGGCGGTTGCTTTTCTACTTACTACATGAGATGGCAAGGACTGCATGCAGACTCAGTGCTGCAAGTATGAGTCTGCTAGTCGCGGCGACTCACTATCTGGATCTCTGCCGTGTTGATAGAGTTGGGTTGATACGTGCAGCAAACTCCACTGTCCTCTCCCAGTGCTGGTGCTTCTGTCATCATACATCTGAATGATGCTGTGCTCCTATGGTGCACCCACTGATAACCAAATGGCAACCAGCTGCCGAGTGCGTGCAAGGCCACCAGACGTGCGTTTGACAGGCTGTGGTGCTGCTGCATGCACACCACCCTGTGAGTAACACCATTTGATGTCTGTGCCGCCAACGTGCATCCATTCGTCCGCCTCTGTCCTTCTGTGGCCACCAGGCAGACTGTGGCAGGCCGCCCTTCCGGCATACAGTACTGTATTGAGCGCTGGCAAGCACATGTACATGTCAATGCGTCATGAGCCAGGCCTAGCAATGGCTGTGGGATGGGTCCCCACCCTGCAAAGCGCTTGATGTGTGCATTTTTGGGGGCGGGGGCAGGTGACATACCCAGGTCAGTGATGAAGTATAGAGTGCTTACCGAGTGGGTACCCCTGCCATGCACCTGTGGGTGCCTGTGCTGGGCAACTGCTCGCGGGACAGCTGGAAACCCAGGTTGCAGCATCTCGCTGTCTCTTCTACGCAAATTTTGAAATTATGCGTGCCGTTAGCGGTGTAGATTTTCAGGCAAGCGGGGCATCAGGGTGGTGACATGCAGCGACCCCGGGCACTGGTCATGTTTGGCGGTTGTGATGCAGTTGTCGATTTGGGGGTGACTCGTCCCGTCCCCGGCAGCGTGATCGCTCGATTAGAGCAGGTGGAAAGAATGCGATGACATGACACCATTAAAACAGCTACGTGTCGAATCACTCAGGGTTCTCAGAGCAGCATTCGCGCCGAAAAAATCTGGTTGCTGGCATCGTCACAGTTGCGCACCCAGACGCCTGCTTGGGCACACAATCAACCTATTGCTTGCGTTTTTCATAGGAACGGCCTTGTCACCCTTCGGAACGGGCACTTGACCACCACTCGGAAGTGGAGTGCGCTGCAGGACAGAATCGCTGAAGAACACGCAGATCCCCGATTCGTTTTCAAAGTTCGACATTAATACGATCATCATGAAGTCGACACAGGCCAGGGCGGCCTCTAGCAGCGTGCACGGGCGCTGCGTTCGCCGTGCAGGCAGCGTCGCCTACCGGAGTCGGGCCGCTGGATCTAGGAGGCTCCAAGTGCTCGTCTCTGCTGTGTTGAGCCCTCAGCGGCCACAGCAGGAACGGGATCCGCAGGACGAGGCGCTGGACAGGGCTCGCCGGGCTATTGAAGCCGTTTTTCTAGGTTCGTGGCCTGTGTCACAACTGTCGAGGTCGCGGGCACGGCCCAGCTCCGAAGCGCACTGGGCCAGGGCTGAGGAGAAACCGCCTCGCAGCTCGGGGCGCGAGGCGCTGCGCCTGCTGCATGTCGCAGCCCCCCGATTGGTCTCCGCACAAGCGCACCTTGTTGCTACAAAGGCAGAGGCTCAACTGCGACCTTGCGGAAGTTCTCTGACTTGCCGGGTTGGTCCGCTGGAGCTGCTGGTTCTCACTCTTGCACGCCTCGCAACCGCTCTCCCCTCGCCCCACACCCGCGCAGGCCCCTCCCTGTGCGAACCCGGTCAGTGCCTGCCCCGCGAGGCGACCCCCATCGAGGCCGGCTGCGTGTGGCACTTTGCCTATGGCTGCGGCATGCATTATCAGAGCCTGCTGCGGCGCGGCGTACGCCCCATGGCGCGCGACGCCGCATTTGTGCCAGACCCTTCTGTGCGCATGCGGTTCCGTCACAGGGGTGGTGAGCGACCACGGCCGGGTTTCTGCATCTGCTTGGGTCTATGCAACTGCGTGGGACCTGCATCTTTGACAGCAGCAGTGCGATTGCAGGGCAGGGTCGCGAGGAGCTCCTGCGCCCCGCTCACGCATGCGCCACCACTCACCTCGACACTCTTAGGGTATGCCACCCTGGAGACGATGCCGCGTGCCGGCAGCGGCGGCAGCAGCAGCAGCGACGGCAGCCCGACGGCGTCGTACGACCAACAGCAGCAGCAGCAGCAGCAGGCGCGGCCGCGCTACCCGCCGTTCACGCAGCACGTCCACGGCGTGCTGTACAAGCTGAGGGCGGCGGACATGGCCACGATCGCGCGCAAGGAGGCCGGATACGTCATCAAGGAGATCGAGGTGGGCCGATGGGGCGGCCTCCGGGAGGGGGCGGCGCCAGCTTGTGGCAGCTGGGGCGCCCGGACAACGGCGTGCGTGCATGACTGGTACAGGCTTTGCTGGTTGCGCCAGCTTGTGGCAGCTGGGGCGCCCGGACGACGGCGTGCGTGCATGACTGGTACAGGCTTCGCTGGTTGCGCCAGCTTGTGGCAGCTGGGGCGCCCGGACGACGGCGTGCGTGCATGACTGGTACAGGCTTTGCGATCTTTGGGGCCGTTGACAGGCCGCTCTTATTCCGCCCCCGTGGTCGACGGCCTGGGCTTCTCCCAACGCCCGCCCTCTCGCGGCCTGCGCGGCATGCTCCCCTCCTGCTCCCGCAGGTGCAGACCTACGACGGGCGCCGCGTGGTGGCCCAGGCCTTCGTGTCGGGCCCCCTGGCCACACTGCCGGCGGAGGTGGCGCCCCCCGAGAAGTACATGCGCGCGCTGCGCGAGGGCGCGGGGGACAACTACCTGGACCCCCTCCACCAGGCCTGGCTCAGCGGCGTCAACACCGTGTCGTCCGCGGGGCTGGGGCCGGAGTACTTCGCCACCCCCTCCAAGTACATAGCCTGGGGCTTCATAGCGATCGCCGCGCTGCTGGTCGTGGGCTTCATCGTGCAGCACTGAGGCGTGCTAAAAAGCAGGCGCCAGGCGCGGAGCACGTGCGCAGCTGGCGCCGGGCCGTGCTGTGGGGCCCGCAGCTGGCAGCTGTCGGCTCGCACGCGTCTGCAGCGGGGCCGCCGGCGCACCACCCCCGGCCGCCTGCAGTTGGCCGCAGCGCTCTATTGGCGCGGCCAGGCGGCTGGAGTGCGCGCCTGCGCACACGGCATTGCCTGACTGGGCGGCCTGGACGGCCTGGAACCGGAGCAGTAGTGATACGTCAAGGCACCGCCACCCACCCAGCATCCAGGCCAGTTAGGGCCTGGCCTGCATTGAAGCAATTGATGTCGTTGAGCGTTTGGTCGAATACGCTGTGCTTCCTTGCACACTAAGCACCCAGGCAGACCCCTGCTGCCCACCAATCCCGCCAAACGCCGGCCGCACCCCTCGCCCCCGCGCGCAAGCCCGGGGTGCGCACGCGCGGCTGGCCGCGGCAGGGCCCTTTGTCGAATTCTGATGGTCCGCTCGGAGCCTTTTTCCAGCACGTGTGCGACGAGAGTTTTGACGATGCCTATTCGGCGATATCTCAGCCGCCGATCCGTGATGGGGCCGCCCGCCGCGCGGCGGCACCGCGCCACCCGCGGGCCGCAGCCGCTGCCGGCGGCGGCCCCCGAGCCGCCCCCTCGAATTTTCTTTCCTGATCTGCAGCTGGACGGCGCAGAAAGCGCGCCGCAGCCCCCTCCCCGCCCTGGTCACGCCCTGGGGCCTTTCGACTGGGGTCCGTGCCCTTCCTGGCCTCTCTTGCGGCCGCCCCCCTTTCGGGTGTCCGCACGCGCCCCCTGTTGCCGCGGCTTTGCCGAGGGGGCGCGCTCCCTCTATCGGCTGCGTGCGTGCCCGGGCTATGCGGAGGTGCGTGCGTGCACGCGCCCCATGACTAGATTGTGGGGCTTTGGGTTGTAGGGCTTTGTCTCGCGCTAAGCGTGCTTCAGGGGCTGCAAGCATGGCGAAAAGATGTCGAACTTTGATTAGCACAGGCACAATTCGATACCAGGTAGACGCCTTGCCGGCGCCGCCGCGGCCCTGCGGGCACTGGGGGTCCCACACTTCCGCCCCTCCCGGCCGCGTCCCTCTGCACCTCACTTCACGCAGCAGCAACAGCAGCAGCAGCAGCCCTCGTGGGCACGCTGTCCCTTGCACCCGGCCCGGGACTCGCGGGTTTGATGGCCGCCAATGTACACCACTGCCCCACGCGCTGCGCGCCAAGTGCCTGCGCCGCAACTCAACACAGAAGAGTATGAACTGGCACGTTGCTTCCTGACTGCATCTGCCGCGCTCCACAGCGCGGCGCGCCTGAAAAAGGCGCTCATGTCGCTGCATGGTCGGTAACAAGCAGGCCCCTCCTTTGCCGCTCGTGTGATGCTTGTCGCTGGGTGAGCGTCTGGTCACAAGTTGGGGCATGCAGAGGCAGCCAGTACCCCTGGTACCGTGTCTCGCATCAGCACCATGGTGTCAGGGCAGGTCGGATGCGCTCGCTACACAATGTCCATTACAAGCCGAAGATCACACAGCAGCAGCCAGTGGTGCTTCCCAGGTGGCACCGGCAAGCGTTCTTGACAAGGCTGGACTGCCAAGACGATGTCACAACCTAGACCCTCACAGGCCTGCCCCCTCCTCGCCCAGCGCGCCCACCAAAAAGCCGTAGGTCTCCGCCATTTCCCCCGCCTCCCTGCTGACTAGCCCCAGGCTGAAATGCCCACCCTCCTGCACTCGCAGCAGCACCTGGCCCCGGCCCACGCGTGGGCCCACCCTCGCCGTCGGCCCCGTGCGCCGTCCTCCGCGCGTGGCCGTATGCTCGGTCGCCTGGCTGTTGCCGGGGCAAACTCCGGCCGGTGCGGCGGCTGCGCGCAGCTTTGCTGCGTACTTGACAGCGCCAGACCACGGCACACGCTCATCTGACAGCCCCACATTGATCAGCACTGGAGGGTACACGGCGCGCCCCGCTTCTTCGCTGCCACCGCCGCAGCCGCCGACGCCGTTGTCGCCGCCGTCGCTGCCAGCCGCGTTGACACCCACGTTGTGGTAGGGGCACAGTGCTCGCAGCACACGCAGCACGTCTGCGCTGGCGGCAGGGTCGCCCCATTCGTCCCGTTCGTGCTCGGTCAGCATGTGCTGCTGCTGCTGCTGCTGCTGCTGTTGCTGCTGCTGCTGCTGTCGCCCGCCTGTGCTCTCCAAGCCGCAGCCTTTGCGACCGTCGCCACTGCTGCCGCCGTTGCTGTTGCCTGGGCTGGTGGTGGTGGCCGGCTGTGACACCGAACCAAGCAGGTCCACAAATGGCGCCTCAAAGACCGCCGCGCCAAACAGCACGGGATCCATATTGAGGGCCGCGCCGAGCGCCAGGCAGCCGGCGCTGCTGGCGTGCGCCGCGACGCAGCCGGGCGCAGACAGGCCTGAACGTGCAAGCCATCTCATGCAGGCGAGCAGGTCGAGGGCGGAATTCGGCTTGTTGAGCTGGCGCCCGGCTGCGTGCCACCTGCCGAACGAGGGTTGAGCGTGGGTTGCACGGCCTTCAACCTCTGGGGTGTGTTTACTGCCCCCCATGCAGAGCACACCAGCGCTTTTCAAGACGAGGCGCAGGCAGCCACATGCGCTTTGTGATGCTCATTACTTGCGGAGTTGCTTGCGCCGAGGCAGTTCCTTTGCGAGCGGATGGGCTCGCCGCGCACCTCCTGCCGAGCTCGCCGCCGCCCCGTACGTGGGCCAGCGCGACCACCCAGCCGCGGTCCAACAGGGTGAGGCGTCCGGGGTCGTAGTCGGCTTCGAGGCACTGAGAGGGTCGGCACGGCGCGTTGGGGCGAGGTACAGCCAAAGCGGCCAAGCGCCAGGTTGGGGTGGAACGCGTTTTGTGAACATGCATGCTTGGGGATGTTAACTCATGTGTGCACGTGCGCGTGCGTGTGTGTGTGTGTGTTTCCATGTCTGCTTGGCTCGCTCAAGCAGGTTGCCTTGCAATGCAGGACCTTCCATCTGCGAGGGCCGTCAGCCCAGTGACATCAGCCAAGCACGCACCTGGCCGTAAGCGCCATACACGTGCACCAGCGCGGGCGCACTGCCCCTCGTTTGCAGGTCTGCGCGCTGCATCAGGGTCAGGGGCACCTGCACGCCGTCATGGGACGCCACCCAGACGCGCGTGCACGTGTACGGGCCACGCTGGAATGTGCACGCCCCCCTGCCGCCACTCGCGCTGCCTCCCCCGCTACTTGGGCTGCGTGTAGACGAGCGCGAGTTGCTTGCCCTGCTCCCCTCGTAGCCGCTGCCATAGCCGCCGTCGCCGCCGCCGCCGCCGCCGCCGCCCCGCTGTGCCCCGTCCCCTCCCTGCAGCAGCTGCAGCTGGCAGTCTGTCAGAGAAAGGTCAAATGTGGCTGGCGGGTGGATGGGCGACGAAAGAGCGAGCCGGAAGCTTGGGGACTGGTATTCCTGGTTGGCACCGGGGCTGAGCGCGAGGGCCCAGGATGGCAGGGTGACCTGCGTGCGTCAGCAGGTGGAATGATGGGAGAATGCAGGTCTTGTGACAGGTCGCATGGAGGCGCCTTCTGGAGATGTTAGAAAGGCACAGTGTCAAGGAATACGGAGACTTGATAGGCAATGCAAAGGGAGGAGTACACATGCCCAGGGCACCCTGTTGATGCGCATATTGCCTAGCTCCCTTGGCCGACAGAGCTTCACGAGCAGCATAGGGAAATTACACAACGCACACGTGCTGAACCGGCAGACAACCTCCGCCACATTATCTCCAGCCGCCCTTCACGCCTCACCTCTTCAACCGTCACCTCATCACTGCCGCCCTCGCCGCCTGCCCCCCCGCTGCCCCAGCCTGCGCCAAGGCCCTCTTTGAGCCGCACCAGCGACAGCCGCGGCCGCGCGTCCCTCATCTCGTGCAGCACAGCAGCCCCCTCAAACACATCCAGGTCCGTGATGCACACCCCCTCGCGCTCTGGCACGAGCAGCCGCCAGCCACCATCGCCCGCTTCGCCGCCACGGCTTTCGTCAGCATGGACGAGCAGCTCCTGGAGTTTTGGCGGCTGCTGCTGCTGCAGCTGCAGCTGCTGCTGCTGCTGCTGCTGCTGCTGCTGCTCGTAAACCCCCTCGAGCCCCAGCGTCATCAGCCGGTAGTCTGCCCCCGCCACCCCCCCGTTGGTCAGCAGCAGCAGGCGGCCGCGCCAGTGCTCGACAAAGTACTCGTGGCCATGGCGGCGGGGCGAGACACAAACTGGGGGCAGCTCTGGTTGGTGGGCGTCCAGCAAGTGGACCTGTTGGGGTGTGGATGGTTGGGGTGGTGGTGATGAATTCCGAATTCATAAAGCGATCCAGGGTGTTCAGACCGCATTGCAGGACTTGAAATTTTTTGAGTGAAACTTAAAAAATTTTTAAGTGAAGTCAGTGCGCTTTTGAGACGTGCACGCAGAATGTGCAAAGCTGGCATGTGCACGTTGGCATCACTCAAGAATGTGTGAGAGAGCCAGAAACACAAGCAAGCCGAACGGACACCAGCGCCGGCGTGCACCCCACCTCGGACGCCAGCTTGGCGTGGCTGTTGATTAGCACATAGCGCCAGTCCTTGGTGCGCGTCAGGGACACAAAGTGTGACAGGTCGGTCTCCTCAAAGACGCGCGCGTCCTCGCACGCAGGGGCACCCAGGCGGCGGCGGAATACCTGCGACAGCAGCCGGGGGCGACTACCTGAGGGCAACTACCTGAGATGCCAAAAGGAGCACCGCGCCCTGTTGCAGCGGCAGCAGGGACGCCAAAGCAAGGCCGTCCATGCCAGCACGCAGCAATAACAATCTGCTCAACTCCCGATGCAGGAGTGCCCCCAAGGCTGCACCTGGCTGGGCCTGCCAGAGTCGTCGGGCACTGTGTACCAGAGCCAGCGGCCGTCGGCCGACCACTCCACCCCGTCTGCGCGCGGCAGCACGCCGCTGTCAAGCATGGTTCCTGGTGGTTGTTTGGGGGTGCAGGTGGGGTAATGTTGTAAGGGGCTCATGTTTGAGGTGGCAGTTGGGTTGAGTGCGTGTGCCCATGGGGGGGTTGGGGCGGCAAAGATGGGGGGGGGTATAGGGAGGACGGGGCAACGTCTCCATCACAGCAACCATCAAATTCCAACAACTACACTCAAGGAGGACGGGGAGGGGGTACCACACTCGCGACAGGCCCCGTCCGCCACAGCTGATGCGCGGCGCTGCTTGGATTCCTCAACAGAACCCACCTGCAGCCAGGTCCCTGACGCAGCCGCAGCACGCGTCCCCGCTGTCGTCAAAGGGCAGCGTGTAGGCCAGCAGGCGGTGGTCGCGTGACAGCTTCAAGGAGCGCGCCTCAGTGCCTGCGGCACGAAGGCCGCGGTGAAGGACGGGCCCCGGACACGCACGTTAATGGCCGTAGTGCGGGGAAGCATATACTTTGCACTCACTCAGCCCTGCCTGACGAAATGCCATTCAAGCTAGAGCGCGAGGGGCACCGAACCCAGAAAGTCGTGCCCACAGCCCAAGGCCGTGCTCACCCCTCACAGGGGTGCCCAGGCGCTGCGACAGCCGCGCTGCGTCCCCTTCGATGATCTCATCGCTCAGCACAACCTCGTCATTCTCAACCTGGGGGGCCCCTCCGAACCCCTCGTTGTCGCCGCCGCCGCTGACGCCGGCGCCGCCCCTGGCGGGGCGGCGCAGCAGGCTGGGCTGGCCGCTGGCGGCGCCAGGCGGCCCGGGGAAGTACAGGTAGGCGCCGGCGCGTTCAGGGGGCGCAGGGCCCTCGCTCGCGTGCTGCTCGTCCTGGTGTGTATGTGGGTGGCATGCAGTTGCGGCGCAGGGCGTTGTTTGCAGCGATGCGCTCCAGGTACGGTCAAGCCCAACATTTGTGGAGAGACGTTGCTGTGTGAAAGCCTGGCCTGCTGATCATATAATCCTCTCGGTCTGGAGTATGAGTGTCTATACCCCCTCAGCTGTATTATGCATTGAGCAGATTGGAACGGCACGCATTGGAGGCTTCACCCACCACGTGGCGCCGTATCTCGTCCACAAGTCGTTGCTTCTCGCGCCTCCACCCGGCCGCGAGCGCATCGTAGTGCCGCCGCTCATGCTGCAGCAGCCGGCGCACCTCTGCGGCATGCCGCCGCAGGGTCAGCCAGCTGAATGGGTCCTCGTAATGAAAGCTGCCAATCGCTCGCAGCTCGGGCCGCTCCGGGTATTGAGGCGGTACGTATGCAGCATTCCCGTCCTCCTGCTTGCGTCGACGCCAAGGTAGGGCCGGCAGCCAGCTGAAGTACTGGGCGCTAAGGTGACATGACGCGGTGGCGGTGGGCAGAAGCGCCGGCCGCTGCAGCTGCAGCGAGCGCACGAGTGACACCGCAGCTGCAGCATCGATCCCCGATCGTCGATCCCCGATTTGGCAAAGCAGCGGGCAACGAAAAGAAGAAGAGACGCACAAACGCATAAGGCAGCGCAGATCTACGTGTCAGCCTCGTCTCGCCAGATCTTTTGATAGTAAGGGTGCCATGCCTCCAAAGGTCGATTTCGACATTGAGCTAGCCACAGATGCAGACATCAGCACGGACAGCGTCAAACCGGGCCAGGAGCTGTCGGTTGCAGCCGACGAGGCCGCCGGCGGGCAGCTGCGCTGCAGCACAGCCGACGGGTTGGTGCTCGGCGTGATGCCCGAGAGTGCCGCACGCCAACTACGAGGTGCCATCAGGGTGACCGTGCGGTCCATCAAGAAGCGGCAAGATGTGCCGGGCAAGGTGCTCGCCATACAGGCGCGCGCTGTGCCAGCAGATGGAGCAGGCAAGTGCTAGACTGCCGTTGCAAGGGGCTGACGCATTGTGGGGCCCCGCGTTCATACCCGCATGCACCTGTGCACACGCTGTGTACATGCGTATGTGTCTTTTTGATGTGGCAGCAGATCCTGAATGAAAAAAGTGTGCGGTCATGGAGCACCATACCCTGCGTCACTGCCGCCCTTTCCCGCTCTCCACAGCAGCGCCGCAGCGGGAAGCGGCGGCACCCGCTGAGCCGGCCCCCGAGGACCCCAGCGGGTTTGCGGTCACCGTCTCCCAGCTGCAGCGGCTAGGTGAGCACGGAACACGCATTCGCTGGCGATTCCACACCTGGCAAGCGGCGCGTTTGCTGCGATGCCTTTTCGGGAGTTGCGGGCCCTGTGTCGTGCGTAAGGATGTTGCGCGCTGCAGCGCCTCCGTTGCTACTTCTCCTCTTACAGGCCCCTTTGACGGCGTGCCCCGCAGCCGACGACCCGAGTGTAGCGCTGACACTGAAGGACGAGCGGCTGCAGCAGCTGCTGCTGCAAATTGATGGCGCGCCAGACCGCGAAAAGGTGCACAGCACTTGGGATGACGCTCGTGCGCACCCAGCCGAGCGGCCGCTGCAGCAGCTGCTGTGTCTCTCTTTTCACTCAACGCGCCCTGCTGTGCACGCTTTGCGGCAAGCTCCATGCCAACCGTTGATCCTGCCACATTGCGCCTGTCTCCCACTGCAGGCGCTGGAGGTGGCGCTGGCGCAGGAACCGTTTCAAAAGTTTGCCGACCAGGTGTTGGGGCTCATCGTTGAAGAGCACAAGCCGTAATGGCCATGTCTCTTGTGGGGGCACAAAGGTCCATTTGGGTTTGGCCCTCAGTCGCAGCTGGGACAAGCTGCTGCATGGGCGTTTGGTCGCTGCTGAGCAAGCAGTGAATGTGCTTCCACCAGTCGTCATTCGCAGTATGTTTACACAGCAGCTCGACCTTGACCACTAAGCTAAGTACACTGTCAAAAATTTGTGATCACGTTTCGGCCAACATACTGTAAATGGACCTGGATCAAGTCGGGCTCATGCCTCCCATTTGGTCCAAATCAATGTCTGCTGGCGGCTGAACTGGGTCATCAGTGACATTCCTAGACCTATCTGAAATATGTACCGCTGTATTGCACTGCCAGCAACAAACCTGCACAAACTCACGCGCCGCCCTCCGTTGCAGCGGTCTGGCCCTGGGGCACCACCGCCTCAACCTGCTCCTGCTTGCCGATGCTGGGTGCCGTACCCTGCACCGACCGGCGGCGTGACTGCCACCTTGTCAGCACCGCCTGAACCCCCTTGCTGGCCCGCAGCCTGCGCCAGGCCACGCGGCACACCCGCTGCGACGCTACCCACGCTCGCTCCGCTTGCTCCCTTGCCACCTGCACTGTCTCGGGCCTCAACCTGCGGGCAGCAATGCCACCCGCGCCAACCAGCGAAGCCGCAACTAGCAGCTTGACCAGGCGCCTGCCTCTGCGGCGGCGCCGGGGCTGCTGCTGCTGCGACGCCATCCCTGCCGCCCGCGCTCCTGCCTGCTGAACCTGCTGCACCTCCTCAGCTTCCGCACTGCCAGCCTCGCTGCCCGCCGCCTCTGACGCCAACGGCCCGTCACTGCGAGCGTCGTCATCACTATCTGCCCCCTGCACACTGTCCTCTGTGCGCCCTGCCATCACCAAGCGCACCGCCGCTGCGGCAACAGCTGCGGCGCCCTCCTCTCCGCAGTCTGGCCGGCCCCACAGCGCCGGCACACGGCGCAGCGGCGACAAGCCAGCAGCCAACGGACTGCCACGCACGGCGTCTGCGCCCAGCTCGCTCGCCCGCACTGGGCTCAGCAGCGGGCAAGCAGCGAGGCCATCCAGGTGGCCCTCTTCTTGGCTGTCCGCAGCTGCTGCGCGGGGCCTGCTAGCAGACGCGGTGCCACCCAACAGCTCAGCCAGGCCGCCTGCCGCGGTCGGCGACCCTCGTGCCGAGCGCAGCGGTGAGTCCTCAGCCCTGGCCGCCCCATGCGGCGAGGGCAGCAGGCGCCGCGGCGTTATGCCGTCGCACATCGCGCTCAGCATGCCCAGCGCTCCGCTGCTGGGGCTTGCGGCGGGGCGCGCGCTGCCCGTAGAGGAGGGCACACGGGACATGGGCGTACTGAACCCGGGGAACGCCGGCCAGCTGACGCTGCCTGGCGGCGTGAGCGCACCGCCGGCCACCTGCGCCGACAAGGACACTGACGCCGCAGATGCAAACGACGCGTCGCCTGGAGAGGCCTGGGCGGCACCGTTAGCGGCGCCGGGCGTTGCGTCTTCTGCTGCTTCTGTTGACGATGGTGCGCCGCTGCCCTTGTCGTTGCCGCCATCGACGCCAGCCGCGATCGAGACGCCCATCGCGCCCTGGTCTCTTCCTGCCGCACCCGGGGCAGCGTCTGCATCGGCTGCGGCTGTGTGGCTGCGGTGGGTGACAGCCGGGCTGCCTGCGGGGCTTGCAAACGGCAGGGCCGCCACACCCTCCGCACCCCATATCAGTGTGGATGTCGCAGTGGCGTCCAGCCTGCCATCCACGGGGCTGGCCAGCAGGGCCGCTGGCGCCGCAAGTAACTGGTTAGGCGCCGGTCCCGATGTCAAGGCGCTGTCAGCCTCTGGCGCCATGACCGCCTGCTGCTGCGCATGTGGCTGGCATTGCAGGACCTGGTCTCGGAGCGCCATCCGGCTGGTCTCCGACTCGTGAATCTGAGAGGCCAAGACTTGCATCCGCTGGTGTGCCTGCAAGTGGGGATGGGGCATGGCTAGCGCCGATCGACACACTGCGATCAGGTTGCAGCTCACACAGCTTGGAGCGCATCAACAGCGTGTGCGGCACACCAGTGATCATACTGGATCAGCTGCAACCGCACGCGTAACAATTCCAGAGGCGTCGCGGCAAATCCCGGCTGCCTACCTCGGCCACCCAGAGGCACAGTGCCGCGATCTTCCGGTCCGCCCAGTCGTCGCCATCGGCGGCAGCGGCCTCGTCGGCGCCGATGCTGCTGCACAGGACCGAGAGTTGTGCATGCAGCGCCGCGGCCAGCGCTGTGGCGCGCCGGCCCTCGGCTGCATGTGCCGCGAGCTCCATCAACTGGGCCACCTGAGAAGGGTTTGAGGGCACCCACGCGTGCGGCAGTGGACAAGGGGTGCCGCGACAGCGTCTGGCGGGTTCGAGAGCAGCAAGAGAACGGTTTGTGGGCGTAAGGCTTGTGCCAGAAGCAGGTGCTACCTCGCACCTGGGCCTGCAGGGCCGCCTTTGACACCAGCACAGCGTCGCGCTGGCTGGTCACCTCATGAAGCTTGTGCCTCAAGACAGCGGCCTGAAGGAGCAGGGCGTGCGGAGATGTGAGACATCAGGGGGGTAGGGCGCTTGCACACGTATCATCGAGATCGCGGAAAAGCGGGTGTTAGGCCTAGATTCCAAGGCGCTCAGGAACCATGTAGCCATAGCTGTTGCGATCTTGGGGCCCTACCTCCGCCTGCGTTTGGACCAGGAGATCTCGCTGGTTGCGCGCTGCAGGCGAGGGGTTGACCAATTTGTTTTGCAGCCGCCGCTTCTCTGCCTGCGTTTCGCACGCGGCATGTGCCTCATGCATGTCAGCTGATCGTGAGGAAGCACAAGGGCATTCGATTACAGTGCCGCCCAGATGAAAGGGGCAAGCACCCAACCCCCGCGCACCTCGCTCTGCTCCAGCTGCAGCTTGAGCGCCTTGTGCGCCTGACGCAGCTGATCTGCCTGTGCACCATTCGAACAAGGATCAAGGAAACAAGAGCCGCAGCATGAGTTTGAACGCAGAGCTTGGAAGATGGTCCAGGAAATTGCCGTAAGGATTCAAATTTGCCAGCCAACAGCCACACGGCGCACCTGAACCGTCAGCCGTGCAATGAGCATGTCACTGTTGCCACCCATTGAATCGACTTGTAACATGTCTGCTTGGGTGCCCTGCAATGATGGACATGTCAGGCATGCTGCATGGAGCCGCGACCCACCGGTGCCGTACTCAACAGATAGATGACCAGACAGCCAAGGTGCTATCCTTGCCCACAGCACGTGTGCCTGCCACGTAACATGCACCTGAGTTGCAACTGTGCTCACCATTTGGACCAGCAATGCCGCCGTTCAACGATTCCTGCGAAGTTCCACTGGCTCGTCAGATCGCCGGCTCAAGGAATTTGTGAGGTTTCACATACATTTAAAAGCGCCAGAAAACCTTTGAGAAAAGTTTGAGATTGCCCAGAAGGCCCAGATCGCTGATCGCGGTTGCAATCAGTGAATACAAGCGGTATACCGGTAGGGGAAGCGAAATGCCATGACGGACTGAATTATTAAAAATCATTGGAGTTGGCAGCTACACGTCACATGGGCTCTGCAGCTCGTGCAGTGCTGTAGCTCGTCGCCAGCAGTGGCTGTCGTTTCGTATCCCACGTGGCCCACAAGGGAAATTGCCCCAGTATGGGAGGTGAACGGCCCCGCAACGGCATGCCAACCTGCTCTTACACAGAACTGTATGTCAATGGCACAATGTTGTTTGCACCCTTGGTCTGCTCACGCCATGATGCCTTTGACCATACAACGTGACTACACAAACCCCCTGCTTTGCGAGCATGTTTCTTACAGTCTCTGCGGCTTGGAAGGCCATATAAAATTGACAGAACAAGCTTGAGAGTATCACAGATGGGATGAGCTGCTGGTTGAACGGCCGTCCGCTGACGATGGTACAGTAGGAGATCGACACGTCACGACGACAAACGATGACGGCAGCTCTATCTGGCTGCTCTGATGGCCCCGCAAGCCTGGACAAGTTGTCAGGAGCGCTCATACAAATCCCTTGCCCCTCTTGCCCTTGGTGTACACCTGTGTAGCGTCGACGACCAGGCTGATGTTGTCAAATGGCGGGGCCTCAGATAATCAGCGTTGCCGATCGACAAAGTGTTTGCACCCAACCGACAGCTCGTACACACGCATGCATGCCCCTGTCTGCACCCACCATGGCCTACTGCGCACCTTGCCGCGGCTACCGCCGTCATACTCCTCAGCTTTCTCCACGATGTACTTCTGGCCGGTTGAGCTGACCACCCTCCCCTCCAGGTAGCGCACCTGGTGAAAGGTTGAGATTTGAGCGCACGACTGAGCGCGCATGTGGACCGTGAGCAGCGGGCAGTCGGTACATCGAGGGTGGAAGGGCTGTGCACTCATCAAAGCAACTCGCAAGTGGTGAGCGCTCGTCCTGGCACAAGCCGCCCGCAACGCCTTGAAGCAGGCGCCGACGTTGCTCTCAAGCGCCCAAGCCGTACCTTGCCAGATGGCTGCTGCTGCTTTTTGCCCGCTGCCCATGCCTCCACAGGCCGCGCCTTCTGCTTTCCGTCAGTTGGCACAGGTACCGCCTCCAGGGCAAACCTGCCGTATGTGGTGGATATGGTATCACGTTATGTTATGCAGGTACAGCTGTTGCCTGCAATTGTATCCTCTTGACCAACTTTTGAGGTCGTCTACAGACAAGGTCAAATGAGTTGCTGTCGTGCGCCTCTGTCCCTCACCTCGCCAGGAGGGCCTGCTTGCTTTTCTGCCGCTCGCGCTCGCTGCGCTGCGCCTCCTGGCGGCCTTCGTCCTGCTCCTGCCGCCACGCCGCCTCCTCGCGATCCAGATCATGCTCCACCAGCCACCCCGCCGCGGCCTGCCGCACGCAACGTTTGTTGCGGGCCCCAGCATGCAGGATCGGCGCTGTTGCAAGGAACCTGCAAGCCGCTCACACATACACAAACACTAACCCACCCACCCATACACACACACACACACACGCACGTGGTGATCTGCAGCCTGAGCCAGCAGATTAGTGCGCAGCGTCATCAAGCACGCCTGTGTCTTACATCGCAGTCGTTATCCAGTGGACAACTTAACCACGGGACTGTAGCTGCCATCAACATCCGCCGACAGGACTCACCTCAGCATCACCACAACAGCGCCTGGCCAGAACGTGGGCAAGGAATGCGTCCGAAGGTGCGCCTGAGCACAGCTCCCGCAGCGCTGCCACAGTGCCTGGGTCTGCGTTTTCAATGCCATCACCCGCTGCAGTGCTGACATCATGTGCATGGGAGTGGCCGGTGCCGCTGGCAGTGCGACCAACTTTGCCACTGCCGGTGCGCAAAGCGCCGCTGGTGCTCTCGCAGGCGAGGGCGTCAATCTCTAGCTGCCTGAGGCTCGCAACTAGCGCCTCCGCGGTGACGGTGTCAGATGGGCTGGGCACATGTGGCTCGCCACTGCTGCTGCTGCTGTTGCTGCCGTTGTTGCTTCCAGACCGAGCCGCCTGGATTGTGGTGGTACGATGTAATAGGGAGAGGCCTTCATGAGCTCTGACTAGGCAGCAAGCAGCTCTCGTCCATGCCTCAGCTCGCACCTCGAAGAGGTCCAGCACCATCTGCTGCTGCCGCGCCGACGTGTGCGCAGACGTAAAGCGCGGCGCTATCTCCGCCAGCAGCTCCCGCGTCTGATCCAACAGCGCCTCTGAGCCTGCATCGTCGTCACCTGCATCTTCTAAAAGCGTGCAGATATATTCTAAAAGGGCCTCATCTGCGTCGTACGTCCCCAGACGTTCCAGCAGGGCACACAGGGCCAATCGAGCTGCCATGTGTGCAGACTACGGTAGGAACGATATAAAGATCTATGTGATCATCTGAAGCCGAAGGTACTGTACCGTACGGTATTAGACGACAATTTGCCGATCACGCAGCAGATCATGCGCTTTGAATATCATATCATACCCCATCGCTGCCTTAACATACCGGTACCATACATTCAGAAGCTGCGGTATACGACCTTACCGTACTGCAAGCAAACTATTGCACATCGCATTTCAACAGCCATGGCACCTGCGAAGGCGCGGTTCCTAACCATCACGGGATCAGCGTTTGCGCTGAGTCCTGCCGATACCAGCAGTCACAACGGCGCCCTTCTCTGCTTCAGGCTAAGCCATGGCCCGCGCGCGCCCTTTGCCCACATCAATGGGCTGCCGTGGGCCCGCAGCCGCTCTGGGCGCCCTCCACCGCCACTCGCTAGGTACGCAAGCGGCTGCCAGACCGGTAGGGCGCAACCATGCATGAGGTGCCCCTCCTTGTCTAAGCGCAGCTCGTGCCCACACCAGTACCCACGCTCCGCGCACCCGCCAGCGTCGTGGTCGCGCTCGACTAGATGATCGCATCGCACGACCCGCTCTAGGATGGCCTCCGTAGGCAGCGGCGCCGCCGCGGCCGCTGCCACTGGCGCCGGCAGCGAGGACCCCAAATTCCAGCGATGGCTGCAGGCGCTGGCCGCCGAGGAGCTCGCGGCCGCCGAAGCCGCCGCCGACGCTGGCCCCACTCCGCCATACGGCGGCGCTGGCGTGCCCGCCGGCGGGGCGCGGCTGCACGACAACGAATGGTACGCCGACCGCTGCGTCTTCTGCGCCGCCTGCCGCACCGCGATCGACGCCGAGCCCGGCCGCCGCGGCGCGCGCTGCGCCGGCTGTCGGCGGTGGTTTCACGGGAAGTGCCGGCCCGAGGCCAACGGCGGCGGCGGCGGCACAGGCGGCGCGCGGCAGGCGGGCGGCGGCGGCTCGGGGCGGTTCTTCCACTGTGACGAGTGCCGCGAGGGCTACCAGGCGCTGCGCCGCGAGGCAGCAAAGGGGCGCCGCGAGCTGCCGGCGCTGCAGCCGGGCGGCCTGGCGGGGCTGTTTGCCGGCTTCTTTGGGCGCGGCGCCGAGAAAGCGGACGTAGAACCGCTGACGCTGCGGCTGATCGACTTTTCCGAGGTCAAGCCGCAGGTGGGTCGGTGCCGCCCAGCAGGCGTGCTTTGAGAGCTCGGGTGCTGCATGCGTTTGCACCGGTAGCCTTGGAAGATGGAAGGGTCATGCAGCCGGCACTTTTTTGACCCCAGCTCCTCAGCTGCCACGCCTCACACGCGCCGCCCTCCTCGCTGCCGCCTCAGTACAAGAATCTGCAGCAGAGCGGCCTGCTCGGCGCGCGGCGACGCAGCCTCCTGAAGCAGGCCGGGCTCCTGGGGCCAGCGCCGCCCCTGCTGCTCGGGACAAAGCAGCCGCAGCAGCAGGCCGCCCCGCGGGCGACATCGGATGAGGAGCGGGGCTCAGACAGCGAAGGGGGCAGCCGGCGCGGTGGCGCTGGGGCCGCGGGCAGCAGCGCGGTGGACGACTTCATCTTGGCGGCGGAGCTGCTCACGCGGCAGTACCCAGACGACACGGTGAGCCTGCAGGCTGGCAGGGCTGCGGCGGCGGGCGCGCCCGGGTGCTGCGCCGCAGCGCTGGGTGCATCGCTGCAACGGCGGTGTTACATTTGTTTCACACAGGCGGTGGTGCACGTACTTCGGCATTCTTGTTTCAATAGTACTTACTGTTAAATGTTCGAGTCCTGTCACCCCTTGTTGCGGGGCCCCCACCTGCAACCCCTGCGGCCCGTGCCTGGTCACCACTCCAGTTCCAAGAGCTGACTGGCGGCTCGGCCCCCCCC